GATGCTATCACTAACATTCAAATTAAGCCACACTCAAGTCATGATCCAAATATCTTGAACTCTATTTTTAAAGGATTTCTCCACCGAGCTTACTCAATTTGTAGTAAGTCTTACTTGCAAAATGAAATAAATTTTCTAATCGACGCGTTTATTGAAAATGGTTACGATAAAACTCAAATGATGAATATTGCGCATCAGTTTCAACACAAAAGACAAAATAAAATTACAATTCCATCTGAAATCAATAATTATCCTGTAGTTTCCTTACCATGGGTACCCGATCTCTCGCCAATATATATATATATATATATATATATATATATATATATATATATATATATATATGTATATACATATATTGTATAAATTATATTATAAAAGATCTTACGTATTCATATATTGTTTCTTTTACGGAAGAGCGTATGCCCCTTTCCTCACCCATTCTAAAAAAAATACATGCTGTTTTCAAAATTTAAATAATAACTTTAAAAAAGAAACTATGAAAATGAAAATAAATTAAAAAATAAGTTCATTTCAGACAACCATCAAATGTGGGAGATGAATTTGAAACCCATAGCAGATATGCTGATGATGTTTTAGTGGGGTATTGATGATGTTTTAGTGGGAAGTTGCTTGCTCTGAAGCTAGATATCCATGGTCCAGTAAGTAGTTTTCTAAATACTGCAAGAACACACATTTGTTTGATTGCAGTTGCACAACATACTGTTTAAACTGCTTGTAAACTTTTACACTTTACTGTTCCAATTTTAAGATATTGTTTAAACTTATTGTGATGTTTTATTAAAACAAAATAAGTATGGAAAAGAATGTGAAGTTTGTTTCCATAATACCTAGAAATCATACCTCGTGTTAAATTATTATCATCTGAAAAATTTATAAAACCTTCTGGATCGTCTTTTACATCATTAAGTCTCATTTTATGTATGGGTAAAATAGTCAAGGTTGCCATGTAGTAATTTCTAAATAATTTGCATTTCTCATTTTCTAGAGACTTCAATGCTGAACGGCATGATGTAGCAATTGTATCAAGAGGATGCAAACGGCAGTTCAGCTCATTTAGACTTTTCACCCAGTTTGCACATACTTTGCTTATGGTAAGATGATTAACAGTTAATATGAAAACCTTCTTGTGTTGTAGCATCAAACCCAAGAGTAAGTTGACTATTGTTAGGGCTATTGCGGTGTGAAATATCAAAGAAAACAAAACCCATACATGGTCTAATTTTCTAAATGAAAATAGGAGTGTTACCTGTTGGAATACTATATACTAGCTGTAAGCAACCGGTAATACGGGTTACTAGTAATAAATCATTACTAACAATTTGATATTTATTTACTTTCTCTAATAAAATATAAATTTATTTATACAGTAAGCAACCCGTAATACGGGTAAGTAGTAAATAAATCATTACTAACAATTTGATCTTTATTTACTTTCTCTAATGAAATAAAAATTTATTTATACATTTTTTTAGTTGAGCTCACTTTTATTTTTCTTGGCTTCTTAGTTTAAGAGAACTCTTAGCTTCATTAAAGATAAAGTTAACCATAAAATGACTTGAATTATATGCACAGAAAATCGATGTCAAATGTTCAAATTCCGTAAAATTGTTTAGGTAAATATTGGGAACATATTCTACTCTTAATTTTGCTTAAAGCTGAGTCGTTTCTTTATTTTTTAAACTTTTCATTTTACTGAGTGAAGAGCTTAAAAATATGTCACTATCGCACCTAAACCTTTTAAATGTTATTAATATATTTTTTAAATATTTTTAAAACATCGAAAATATTAAACCCAAACTTGTAGGCATAGAAGTTGGATATCCGGAAAAACTATAAGTTGAAAAATATATCGCAAATCCGAAAAGGGCTTACCCTGCATACGGATCCTATATATTATGGTAAAGATTATTATTTAAACCAACCTTTTTTTAATTAGTAATCCAGCAGAAACTTGTTTATAAAAAAACAAAGGAATATATGGATTTACTATAATAGCTAACGTGTATCAACATATTTATTTCAGCATACATCCAATCCATATTTATACTAATTTTATAAAATACATTTTGCCTTAACTTGGCGTTAGATTATTAGTTTTGTTTTATTAATTTTTGTATAGATCAGGTTAATAATAAAAGCAATTGGATTTTACTCAATATTTTTGAAGTAATTATTCAGCTTTAATAAAATTGATAAAATCGTAAAAGACAGTTAAAAAATATATTTTAACCTTTGTTCACTTTTTGAAAATCCGTAAAAAAGCAAGTATCAAGTTTACTTATCTTTAAAAGAAAATTATTTACATGATATATAGTTAAATATGTAACAAAAATATTTTAAAACAGAAGCATATATAAAACACATTTTTCTTAAAAAAAACAAAGTTAAAGCCACCATTTACAGCACCGAGGAGCCAAGCATAGCCTATTGTAAAGAAAACCATATCAAATAATTTAAAATATTTATTACCGATAGGGACGACAATTAAACATATTTAAAAAGCTACGTAATTTCATATTAGTAGAATTGTTATAGAAAAGTATATTAAAAAAGTATATTTAAAAAAAGTGTATTAAATAGAAAACAGACTTTTAAAAACTACCTAATTTTGTAAGCAATTTGCCAATGATGTTTAATTTTGAAACCAATATCTTTAATGAAAAGCCGACTTGTTTAACTAATATCATTCAAAGAATAAAGTTATTAACACTTAAAGATAAAGAAAAAAAATGAATGAGATATAAACAATCGTACTATAGTATTATATAAATAAGTAGATTCATATGAAAAAACAACAACAACTGGAAAACAGTATACCTGCTTTTGGTAACCTATTGTGATACTGCAGCAGTTGCTGTAGGGATGCAGCTGTTCTTTTTGGTGTTGTTCAAAAACGTAATTTTATGTTGGCTTTTAGTAAACTTTAGTTTAATTTAAAAGACATCACAACGGATTTAAAATATTCATAATAAAAAGAGCAAAACATAAAATGCTTTAAGGAGCCAAACTATAAACATAAAAGATAAAAAATAGAATCGAGATAAATAAATTGTATTTATATAGCTAAATATATTGCCTTGGGTTTTAGTAAATTTTAAAAGCAGTACTAAATAATTGTTTTCAACAAAAGAATGCAGCATCATTTTAATATGATAATTAGATAATGAATCAATTCAACTTTTGACTTTAGAATTTAGGGAGGGGTATTTAAGAGGGCTTTAAATTTGAAGTCAGGTTTAATTTGGTGAGAAAACAATTAAAAATTTTATTAAAAAGATTAAAACAAATCAAATATACAACGTAATATATATTTAAAAAAAAAATTACAAAATTATAATAAAAAAAAACGCCGAAACAAAAAATTACAAAATTAAAAAAAAAAAAAAACCGAAGAAAAAGCAGCAACAAAAAAGTCATAAATATCTCTACTGATAGAAGACATTTGCAACCTTTTGGTTGCTGTTTTTTCTTTGGTGTCTCCCAACACCCCGGTATGGATGAGACCTCCATTTAAAGGAGGGCTCATCCATACCGCCATTACGTTTCCATTTATTGAAGGACCTCTCTGAGAGAGGTCCCGGGTGTTGGGAGCGATAATTGTGGTAATGTTCGAATGATAAGAAATCTAAAGTTACAAATAGAAGAGTATAATAAAAATTATACATTTGCAATTATTAAAAAAAAAAATTAGCATAACCTCACCATTTTCATTCGAAACAGAAGATGCTGAAAAAAAAAAAAGAAAGAGAGCAAATTAATAAGGGTTAAACATGCAATATTTTGTATTTTAATAAATATATAGGGCAATAATGCAACCAGTTCAAAAGTGTCATATTTATTAATTAATTTTTTCACCTATTGCATATATTTCTCCATACAAAATATATAAAATATAAAACACAATCATACCAGCTATACTTCCACCTGACACTAAAGACAAATATATACTTAAATAAATATATAATAATCGATAAAATAATGTTAACATATAAATATATACATATCTAAATAATTGTTTTACCCATCCCCCTCGTTTCATCCATAAAGTTGTCTAAAGTAAGAAAAAAATAACTAAAGCTAAAAACAAAACTATAAACTAAACCAAAACTATAAACTAAAGTAAACTTTAAATCTTCTAAATATTAATGCTTTATTTATTAAACTAAACTAATCATAATTTATACTAAGTTTTTGTTCCAACTCTTCTAAAAGAAAGTATAAAAAAAGCTAAAGAACTTGATTTTTTAAAATTCCAGTGGCAGTACAAATAAACAAATTCCTATTAACAAATATCTAATAGCAAAAACACTGACTTATTTCCTTCTTCACTTCTGTATCTAAACAATAAAAGCACTTTAATGTTTAGACGTTAAAATATTGATAAAATACATATTAAATGCTACATTTAACTAATGTAATAATACCTTTATTAGATCTCTCTTGATTAACTAAAGAAATTAAATTTTAAATAAACTCTAACTAAATTTTAACAAACAACCAAAATGAATCTTCACTTTAATAGTACGTTATTAAGTTGATTAATAGATGAAACAATTTAATCTACTCTAATAATCTAATACCTTATTAATAAACTTTAATTTTTTTTCTGCGACTCAGTGTAATGGATATACAGTGTAATATGGATATTTTTAAAGAAAAAAAGAATTTAATATTATAATATATATGATTTTAAAAACCTGAAATTTTAAATCAACCTCGAAGAAAATAGATACATATTAAAAAGTATTTTTAATTCTTTTTAAAAATTTAAAAATGCTTTATAACTTACTTGTTCCAATATTATCACCAACGTCTAAATAGAAAAACAAACAAACATTTAAGTAGACTCATTCTTAAATCTTATAATATATATGATTTTAAAAACCTGAAACTTTAAATCTACCTCAAAGAAAACAGATATACATTAAAAAGTATTTTTATTTCTTTTAAAAAATTTAAAAATGCTTTTTAACTTACTTGCTTCAATATTGTCATCATCTAAAAAGAAAAACAAACAAACATTTAAGTCGACTCATTCTTAAATCTAGTTTAATTTCTTCAATAATAAAAAAAATTTAATCTTTGAGGATTAAATTCATTTACAAAAGTTCGTTTAAGTTCGTTTAAACCATTTTAATATTGTAAAGTTAATTTAAATTAACAAACATATAAATGCAATTTATAACATTTGTTAATAACAAAAAGAAAACTTACTTCTTAGTAATTCAGCAACTAAAAATAAACATATATTTAAGAACTAACAACATAACATTATACATATGTAACATAATACACATCTAAATAAATACAAACCTTCATCTTCAATCTGATTCATTCTATTAATTCGATATAAAAAATAAAAACAAATATGCTTAAAACAAATTTAATAAAGGTAATAGACATGTTAAAAAATAAAAAATAAAAACGATTGAATTGATTATACTGAATATGACCTACTTGATAGGTACGATTAGATGTAAAAAAAATTTATAACGAAAACGCGCTTTTTAAAATAAGTCTGGAAATTCCAATCTCAAAATTCCAGAACAGAAGAAAAACTGCGCACAAACCAAACTGCGTAACACTTAGCGCAGTAACTAAAGTAAAAGAGCATTTAATTTAGCTATGCAAATTACATCACGCATGTTTAATTAAGAACGTTATGATTATCAACTTTGAAAAATGGCTAAAATTTAAACTCATTACGCAACTAATCAGTTTATTTACTAATAAGTGCAATAAACATATCTGTACATATAGATAATTTTAGGAGCTAACTTGTCTTAATTCCATTTTTGTGTAAATGAGTTTAATACAAACTTGTCGCATATTCTGTCGGGGCCAAATAGCCTTCTAATTTTTATTTACTGCGGTTTAACAGGAAACAAAAATCAATCTAGTCTTAAATCCATTTTATTAGCTAAAAAATCATAAAAGAGTATTACTATACTATCACATTTATACTTGTATATATCACATTTTGCTACTAAACATGTTTTAAATTGACTTTTGAGGTTGTTAACGTGACATCTCATGTTTGCAAACAAAGCTAACCGGACCCGGTCATGTTAAGCCTTCTAAACTCTGATTATTTCTATATTGAATAGATGGCCTCTTTATTTCAATAATTTTTTGCAAACGGTAAAGTAATTTGCTGCCATTTACTAAATATTCCTTTTATTACTCGAAGTTTCGGTTTCATCAATATTTTGACATCTCCGCTAATTAAGAGCCCCTCCCCTTTTTTTGTTTTAATGGTAGCCATGTGAGTAGAGTTTTTTTTATTAAGAGTAGTCTATTTATGATGAAGACCTTTTACCAAAATAATAAAGCGTAAAACAACGATTTACATATGTAAGAACTTTTTCTTTCCTCAAAAGTGTTGCAATTGCAGACTAAACTAATCAACTTAGTATTTGACAAACTGCAAGTTTCCCTGTGTTTTTAACAACGAATTGTTAAAGCATAAGATAGAGAAAACATCGGAAAAAAATATATATATTAATGCTTTTATATCTTTTAAACAAACGAACAAAATTTTACAAATTTAAGAAATCAAGTTTTTTTTTAAAATTGTACTAATACGTCATACGGTAAAATCTAAAATAAAAAAAAGTATTGGAATTATAACATCATATATATATATATATATATATATATATATATATATATATAATATGTATATATATATATATATATATATATATATACACCACATATAAACAATGAAAACCGATTTACTTGTTTTTGTAACCTTTTGATATTGCAGTTAATATAAACATTTATAGAAAAAAGTAGCTATAAAATCTTTTTCGAAGTACTAAAGGATTAACAATACTAAAGAAAAAAAAAATCAAATGAAGACATAAATTTAACTTTTAGCAAGATTTTGTCCTGGCTTTTAGTAAATGAATAAAAGCAGCAAGTTCCAATAATGAAACTATCTATTATTCATTTTTAACGATAGACACCAACGGGAAGGTAAGCCAAGCTGTCTATCAACACAAAACATCACAACAATATAACAATATTATACATTATAACAATACATTACAACATTATAACAATAACATATATATTTTAACACATATTCACACCTATATACCTAATATTTACACCCTTGACTCTAAAATTCAGTGGAAAATAACAAACCAATTTTAAAAGAATATGAAAGGCAAAACTAAAAAACCAATTTTGAGTTATCTATATTTATCTTTTTACTAAACTTTAATATAGTATATTTGCTTTTATATTCAATATTATTTATTCAATTATTTTTAAATTTAAGGATCAAGGTTGCATACTCTTTTATACACATTACACAAAACATAACCTGACATAATGTGTTTCCAGAAAAATTAAAAAAATTTTAGTTATGATTAAATATAATTTAAAAAAAATTTTAAAAATCATATTGAATCATAACTAAAATTTATTTATTTATTTATATCTTAATACAGCAATAATACAAAAAGTAGGAAAAACTTTAAAACAAGGAAAAACAAGTTGATTATTTTAATATTAAAAGTATGCCGTGACTCGTGATGCTTATTTTTTAACAAACATAAAATACATTTTAAATGTGATTTGTTACATGTATCATAAAAAAGCATTTATAAAAAAATTAAAAAAGATAAATTACTTAATATATTCAAACTTTTATTTAATAAATTTTGTACAAATACTTAAGCATATAATTGAGTCGCAAATATGTCAACCCAGTCAAAAAAAAAATAAAGCTACTCTTTCTAAATTAAAAGCAAATAAAGAGTTGTTTCTAAATATTTTTATGTAGTTATCAGTTTCGAAAAAGTGTGACAAAATAATTAATTCTTTTTTCATTAAAAATAGTATTGACTACGATATGTATATATTTTAATGTTCTATTAAACTAATTAGTTTGAGATTTTAATTAAGGCATTATTCATTTCAAATTAGTAATATAACATTTTCAAAGTGTATTAATTTATCGATGAGCTTATTATCATTAAACTCATAATTACATAAAACTCATATATACATATATTATTATATAATATATTATCATGTAATTAATATATATTAATATAATTCGTATATTATAATATAACTCATATATTATCATATATTTTTTAAATCTCGATTTAAAAAAACTTCAATGTAAAGTTATTTATTTTATTATTTTAGAAATTGTAATAACTTTTCTCAAATATACTTTAAAAATTAAATTAAAAATAGAAACAATTGTTAACTCTTTTGCGTATTCTATAAATGCCTTTGAAAACTGAATTTATATTTAGAAGAACACTTTCAGAATATTAAAAATTGTAGTTTTTCTTCCATTTTAATTAGTGCACAAGTCCAATTAATTATAAAGTAATTCAGAAACTATATTACATGTTTTTATACATAAGTCAGTACGTTCCGCTTTTGGTAGTAAAAAGTATCCTTTGCATTTTGAAACAACTTCACTCAAAACTTCGTAATGCCTTTCTAGATTACTTTCTATCATTGATGCGGTTGGTCTGTTACTTGGTAAGGTCTCTACGCAATTGTTAATTAGTTTACCAAATATGATAGGTTCCTTATTTAGCACAACTGTATTATTTTCAAAACTGTGCATTTGTCCAGTTATTAAGTGGTATATTGTCAAACCAAACGTATAAACGTCAACTTTTTCGTTATAATTGCCAGTATGAAACTCTTTTGGCATATATGCATTTGGTCCTAACACAGAGTGGTTCTGAAACTTGTCTTGTAGCCTTGAAATCCCCATATCACCAATTTTTGCTACATAGTTATTTGTTATGAATATGTTGTCAGGTCGAATGTCTCTGTGTATGTAATGCTTGTCGTGTATTCTTTTCATACCTGATGCTATATTATATGCTATGGACACTCTGCATCTGTAAGATAAATCTGGCTCATTTTTTAAAAGCTTAGTTAAACTTCCTTTCTCCATGTATTCTGTAAGTAAGTAAAACTTTTTTATGCTTTGATTGTATACTATACAGCTGCCATATGCTTTGATGACATAGTTGCTGTTAATTTCGTTATAAGCCAGTACTTCACGAATGAAACTTTGATATAAACTGTTTACGTCTAAACCTAAAATCATATGGAGAGGATGCCATTCAACAATTTTGCAAACTACTATTTTGTTTTTTGAAATTAGTTTTGCTTTATGTGCAGTACCAAATGCTCCGCTACCTAAACACTCTAAAAGTTCTATATCAGCTGGGTTCACATTTCGAATGCTATAAGATATAAGTAAGGAATGTTCTGCCTTATGATTGCCTATATCTTTTTTTTTTTCGAAACATTTATAGCACAAGTCAAAGTCATTACATTCATCACATTTAAATCGCAGACCAAATATTGGATGAGCATTGCACCCATCGCACGTTACCTCGTGTTCCACCCCATTAAACTTATTTTTAAAACTGTCGAGAGTAACATTTTCCACCTCAATCTCATCTCCAAATATTTCTTTTGGTCCACTGTATCTAACCATTGGGTGTCCTTTGACATGTGGCAAAGTTATCTTTCTTGATTCAAAGCACACTCCACAAAGATCGTAGTCTTTACACACCAAACATTTATAACGGTCGACTACAAAATCAGTTTTATTGCAAACATCACATTGAACATTTTGATGAGCAGGACTATTAATGCTAAAATAACCATACTTATTTGCATCAAGAAAAATATTATGAACTATGTCATTTAAGACGTCGAATAAGTTGTCAATTTCCTTTTTATCACAATCAGTATCAGATTTTGATTCATTAGATCTGCAGTTTAACACATTTGGTTTCGCATCACTTTGGTTAGGTAATAAACCATCTAATAAGTCTGATTTTTCTGAGTTCTGTGAATTATTTTGAACAATTTTTTTACTTGCTACATTGCTGTTACCCATAAGTTTATATAAGTAAAATACGTTGACTATGTTACTAGAGCACAATAGACTTGAACGCTATAACTGAATGTTAAAATCGAGTAAAGAAATATGTAAAAGAAAAAGTATTAAAATAGAAGTATAATTAGATGTATATATATGTGTAAATATGCATATATTTATATACATATATATATATATATATATATATATATATATATATATATATATATATATATATATATATATATATATATATATATATATATATATATATATATATATATATATATATATATAAATATATATATATATATATAAATATAAAAATAGAGGTATAATTAGATGTATGTACTTGTGTATATATGCATACATTTATATACATTTATATATATATATATATATATATATATATATATATACATGTATATATATATATATATATATATATATACATATATATATATATATATATATATATATATGTATATAAATGTATGCATATATACATATATATATATATATATATATATATATATATATATATATATATATATACATATATATATATATATATAGATATATATATATATATATATATATCATATATATATATATATATATATATATATACATATATATATATATATACATATATATATATATATATATATATATATATATATATATATATATATATATATATATGTATATATATATATATATAAATATATATATGTATATATGTATATATATATATATATATATATATATATATATATATATATGTATATATACATAAATATTTGTAAATATATGTATATATATACATTAATATTTATATATACATATATATATAAATATATATATATATGTATATATATATATATATATATATATATATATATATATATATATATATATATATACATAAATATTTTTATATATATACATATGTATATATATATATATATATATATATTTATATATATATATATATGTATATATATATATATATATATATATATATATATATATATATATATATATATTTATAAATATATGTATAAATTAATATCACGATTTACAGGGTAAAAGATGGTACTTATATCAATCAGGAAAACAAGATGAAGGGAGCGATTTTTAAAGAATTGAATTTCAATAAATAAATTTGACATTTCAAAAATTTTGGGTACTTAGGAACAGTTACAGTAAAAGAATGAGACTTAATTGGATAACAAGTAACATTCGATTGATTTTTAGTATATGATACAAGAAACGCTAGCTTTTCAGAGCAGCACCCGTTATAGTATTTATAAAAAATAAAAATAAAAACGGCATTACGACTTAATGACAATAGTTAAAGGTTGGGTATAAGAACAGGTGTAACTATGTTTAAATAGAGTTTTTCGCTTTTTGTATAAAAAAAGGACGTAATTTGAAGATCTGCTTCCGACATGGCAACATTCCATACAACGACATACTTAAAGTTAGTAGAGATAAAGAATCAAATTAGTGAAAAAGATAATAATTAGCAGTACAAAAAATGCGAACATAATAAAAGCATGCAAATTTAGCAGAAATTTTGAAATGAATTAGATATATGGATTCTGAAGAAAGAATGGAAGTTAGAGTTAATTCTTGAAAACAAAGAGTAAATGTATTACT